AAGGGCAATTTCTAGACACCAATCAATATAGGAGGAAACCAGACTACACATTCATGGTAGAACATGCAGACTGTAGGCCGGATGTCGAATCCATTGTTTGTCTTTGCAGTTTGAAATAGTAGGTACTTTGTTTAGTAGGTGTTTAAATAGAACAGTTTTAAAGTGGTACGTGTTTTTTGTTAATATCTGTTAATTAATATATAATATATATAATCAATTAATATCTGTTAATATTCTACAGGTATGTTTACAACAAGGAAATCATAACTATATTATCAGGTCATTTTATTTATTTGTATTTTATTTTATTTACCAAAGTAGTTATACAAAATCAGGTAAGGCAAAGGAATAACATCCCACAAACTGAAATGTTTTTTTTTTTACAAATAAGGTGGTAATAAATCAGACATAAAAAAAAAAGGTGTTTATCTAAAAATGTTCTTTATGCTAATCAAATATTTTACATTCATCCCTGCATCTTAACAAACCAAGGCTGAGGTTTCTCTTGTGCATCAGGAAGAAAAGACAAGACTAACATTCTTTTTGGGATGAAACTTTCTGACCTGCTTCCCCAACTCTACAGTCTCTTTCCAGACCTCAGCATTCTCATGCAATAAAGAAAAAGTGTATTAGATTTAAGGTAACCAATGCTTAACTAAAACAGTGTAAATAGCAAACGTAAAAGATCAGTAAAAAACATCCATACAACTCTGCAGAAATCACTAAAACATGTGAAAACTTGAATCCTAATCCTGATGTATTACAATGAAAAATAAAAACAAGCAGCTTATCTAAAGAGTCTTTTAAGCTAAATTCCTTACCAGCAGTTTTTTAAGCAGCACCTATTAGTATACTTCGGCTTAGAATACTTAGCCCCACCCTCAAATTTTGATTGGTTAGCTAAGCAGATTAAACAAATAAAACAGACAATTCAAGATATTACACCTTTAGAGTATAGAAAATAAATATTTTAATTAACTGATTATAAATGTAATTGTTGGTTTATGTTTTTCAATAATAATTTAAACATTAAAGTAAATACTGTCTAATTGCTCAAATGTTCTCATTCATTTGAATAATCACATATATGAATATATATTTAATGATCCAACATATTAAATGTGGTAATCTTGGACTTTATTAATGAAGCAGTATTATTTTTTAAATATTGTATTGGATGGTTTTAGGCAAGAGATTAAAAGAATCCAAAAGAATAGTTTCTTAGAACTGAAAGTTAACTAGTATTCTTTAAAATCAGAGCTCAAACAGGATATTATTTGACTACAAAATCATACAAAATTCCCTTTAATGGTAAAGAAATTGGCTTGTTATGTAAAGAAAATGATAAGAGAAAAAAGAAACAGCCATTTAATCAAACATCAATAAAAAAATGTTTTTCTCCCAAGCAACTTTAAACAATTAGAACTTTCTAGAACTTTCAAGATATTGAAGGAACCCTTGATATGACAGCAGTCGTTAATAAACTGTAACCAGAATGAAGGCATATGCTGCACTGATTAACAAAAAAATGAGTTTAACAGTCAGCAGCTTTCTTTAGGTTAGCTTTCATGGCGCAGCGAGGCACTTCTTGTGCTCCATCTGCTGCAGATGATGCCGTTAAAAATAACAAAGTTACTGAAACCTTGTCAGACTAACTGAACATTACAGATGTCCATAACAGGTGAAAAGGCTTCCTTAGAAAGCAAATTCCTTTGCCACCGAGAACCTATAGTGGTTTTCAAATATACACATTACTCTGCCATTGGCAAATGAAATGTCGACATGCCCTCCCAAAAAGGATGGAGAACATTTTTATTTCGAGGCATTGGGCAAGGGAGGAAGTTCCAGAAACAGGAGGTGCAGTAAGAGGTCTCTAAGAGTCTGCACCTGAGGTAAGGCAGAGAGGGAGAGAGGAGGGGAGAGAATTTCGCTCTCAGCAATGAGACTCCTTTTCACGGACGGGGAAATATCCGTCCTTGTTGGGTGGAGCTTTCTGGTGGAGAGTGTCCCCTTCTGCAGCCAAGATGCTCATCGGCCTCCCTTGTTCCTGCTTCCTGGTTGGTAGGTCAGGGGAAGGAGTGGTCAGGAGAAC